CGGATAAAGGAGATGGGTTGGGGTTAGCGTCCCCTTCCTGTAGTAAACTAACTCGCTAAAAAAGCGCTAACCAGAAAAATTATTCAAACCTTTTAAACTCTGCCCTGGGAATCAGAAGGTCTTCATTTAGAAGAACTATGACGCCTCATGATGAAAGCCGAATTCCTTCGGAAGTCACGAGGCCGATGCTTCTTCTGACAACCAGAGCAACCATTTATTTAGGTACATGGAATGTTCGTATTTAGTCTATGAAAGATTTATAACTGATGGGTTCGAATCCTATGATGTCCATTAATAAGTGAAAATTTATTAGTTCGAGCAAATTTTCTCAAATAATATACGTATAAAATACTATGAAAACTATTACATCCTATCCTGATAATCATAAATACCTGATCTTTGGAAAAGTAACATATTTCAGGTTCATAGCTATGCACTACTAGTTTCATATTAGTAACCAAGTGAATTTAGGAAACCCTTTAATTTAATATATTTATAAGCAAAGATAAATAATGGCTAGCAGTGAGATCCAGGATGCGCGTTTCCTCTTATTTGGGACTCGTCAGCTGGATGTACTTGCATCTCAGAGTTGATGTTCACTCTTGGACGCGATTCCTGTACCATTCGCTTCAAACGCCATCGCCTTATCCTCTCAGCAACATCAACTCCGGGATGCAGATTGTAGTGTCAATTATTATATTAAGCCCATATACCTTATTCTAGCTTTCGGACATCCCATTCTATTCATTTTACTTGAGCCATACATTGACCTTGTTATTTATTCGCTTATCAATCTAGACTGTTTTTATATGAGCGTATATGTGTGTGCCCTTCTTATTCCATTAATCACATGTCTGTAGCTTTATTTTGTCTGACTATAAATATTGAGTAACGCTTAACTAAAATGGAGTTGGCTTCCCAGCCGTCTTCCATACGTGTCATTTTGCTTTGCTCTGTTTCATTCGCTTCATATACGAAATATATGTATTCACAAGTCAATTCTCGCTATTCGACTTATTTAATTCCGTTATTGACTAACGCGATTTATGTCGACGATTATATACGAGAATAGGCCATGACAATCATTCGTACGACCTTGAAGGCCACAAAAAGATACATCCAACTGACGAGTGTGTATTTAATTTTGTAGACACATTTCCCGGAACTTATAAAAGCAAAATGAATTAGTAAGCACTTTTTCTTTTATCTTGTTATGTAATCATGTCTATTTTACTGTAATTTAACAGTCTGTACATTCAACCTATAATATCTGTTGTGTGTATGTGTTTCTCGATAAAAGGTAATTCAATTATTTCAGTTTCATGGAAAATAAAGACAACATTCGATTCATGTTCTTTATATCCATCTACATTGAAAATACCGTCCGTAAACAAAAACACCCTACAGCTGTTTAGTCTAATTTTTTTAAGCGGCGAAATATAATTGGATTTCATAAATATTTTGCAACTTATTTATGAAAATCAAATATTCCTTAAACATTTACTTTACCCCTGTTTTGTTGTTTTCTGTTTTAGCTCACATGTATTTTACATTATAATACTGTAATTCACTTTTTTTTCTTTATTTATAAATATTACTTACTTACGTCTGTTACTCCTCGTGGAGGAGAATGGGCCGCCCAACAGCATTGTCCATCCAACCTTGTACCAATCAATCCATTCCAGTTCTTTCCGGTTGTTATTCATCCTTTTCATATCTGCTCCTATTTCCCAACGTAATGTGTTTTTTCGCCTTCCACTCTTTCTGATTCTCTTCAGCATTCCGAATTAGCGATTGCTTCGTGATACAGTTTGATGATTTGCGTAATGTATGTCCTATCCATTTCCATCGTTTTTTCCTAATTTCACCTTCAGGAAGAAGCTTGTTTATCCACTCTCACAGTAGACTGTTGCTGATGGTATCCGGCCATGGATGTTGAATATGTTATGTAGACAACTATTTATAAATACTTGTACCTTCTTGATGATCGTTGTAGTAATTTTGCAAGTTTCATCTCCGTAGAGTGGAACTGTCTTGACGTTCATATTGAAGATTCTGACTTCGATATTGGTTGAAAGTTGTTTTTAGTTCCATATGTTCTTCAATTGTAAGAATGTGGCTCTTGCTTTACCAATCCTCCCGTTTATGTTTGCATCATATTTTCTTTGTTTATCAATGGCGCTCTCCAAGTACGTGAAAGATTCCAAATTATCCAGGGCTTCTCTATCAAGTGTGATTAGACTGGTGTTCTCCGTGTTGTATTTTTGGGTTCTTGCTTTTTCCTTTGTGTGTGCTGAGACCTACTGATATATAGGCAATTCATAAATAAGAATGATTATTAAGTCAGTAAGGTAGTTTTGTTTGAAATATATAAAAAGCAATTACTTAACGAACTATATAATACCACCACTTTTTTGGTAACAATGATGTATAGAAGTGTAACGACTGGAAATTTCATTCTATCTTAGGACAGAATTGTATAATAGGAAATAACATGTAGAAATACAATAACACTATGTTACGACTTCCATGAGATTTATGTATACACAGTAATTTTATTTACCAATGAAGATGAAATCAAATGAACATTGTATTATGTACGTAAGAACGTTTTAGTATTCAAATAGTTATTTTATTTATTCATTTATTTGAACATATAAATATTGGTACAAAGGGGCACTGAACACATATTAATCACTCAAGTGACTTGATTGGTGTGTGGGGTGTGATACTGCCTGTGCGTTCAAACCAAACCAGATGGTTTTCTTAGGGGGGCCACATCGAAGCCTTTGAGCTAAAGGTCTGATCCACAAGGCAGTGAAGTAACGTAAGGAGAGGCAGTCCCATGTTAGCCAATGAACAACGATTGGTTCATACACCATTTGCTCCTTCAGGATCCTAGAGTTCATGTGTACCATTGATTTGGAACTAGAGAATTCTAAATCCTCACTGTGGGTCCTCCATATCCATCAAACTGGTTAAAGCGCCGTACATTTGCTTTTCGTTCTTTTAATTTCGTAAACAACACCGGTTGCACGAGAAGGAATTGAGTAGGACTTCCGTAGGAGTGTCTGTATACGCGTGGCCATGTGAAAGCATTTGGAGAGAGAGAGAGAGCTGACTCTCCCTACTCTCGGCCGTACCAGAGCATTTGGGGCACTCCACTCGTTGACTATATATCTTGGTTGTATGATACATATACTTTTGATTGATAAATAATTAAGTACATTACTTCTTTTGATTCGGTAGTTATATCTGATAATATCCAGTCATTTTGAAATATGCATTCATCTAACAAACTTATAATGCTTGGAAGTCACACTATATTTCATGATAATCTTAGTGATTCTTGGAAAACCACTTAAATTTTGATAATTGATTTCTCTGAACTATCAATCGAGACATTCCATCTCTTCTACATTATTTTAATGCGATATCTTTCTTTTCCAAAGAAAGAAATGTATGTTAATGGCCCCTTATCCCATACCAATTAGATAGTATAAATGATTGCTATTGACTTATACATGTATATTTCATCGACTTAAATCGCGTTGGTGAATAACGGAATTATATAAGTCGAATATGAGAATGGATTTTTCGAATACATTTATTTTGTATACTCGTTGATGTGGACAGGAAATCAGAGGGATGAAGCATTGAGAACAGAGCAAAACGAAATGACGCGCGATGATGGCGTGTGAGCCAACTCGATTTAACTAAAACTTAATCAATATTTATAGTCACACAAAAATAAGCTACATATATGTTATAAGTAGGATGAGATGTAAACACACATAGGCTCATATAAAAACAATCATGTTTGACAAGTGAATAATTAACAAGGTCAAAACGTGACTCAAGAAGAATGAATAAATTGTCCTGTCCAGCAGCTAGAATAAGTTATATGGGCTTGATATAGTAACTGACACTACATAGACCCCTTATAGAAAATAGCACATTTTGAAAATAACACTAAATAACCTTAACAAGAAGGAAAAATATTGTACTATACTTGATAATGCTTGAAATTCAAATTATATTTTGTGTCAAAGACAGTAGTCGACCACCTCCAACCACTATCTAATCTCAATATGTAGTGCACGTAGTGTCGAGTCACCTAGACTGGTGGCCACATTGCAACATGGTCGATAGCATTCGATCTGCACTAAATAAGAACTTGACACACATGACATTGATCACTACCTAGTGATCTATCAATTGTAAGGATTCTTTGAAAACCACTTGCTTTTTTTGTGATTTCCATAAACTTGAAGTGATTACATTTTTGGAACAATTAACTGGGACTTCTCATCTTTTCTAGTTTCTTTCAATGGAATATCTTTCTTTTCCAAAGAAAGAAATATGCTACCAAAACAAAACAGCTTTTTTCTCATGAATTCATCTTTTCACTGAAAAGCTCCTCTTCGAGTCCCTTTCAGGTTATTGCCAGTCCTAAGCCCAAATAAAGGAGGAAAATTTGAGCATGAGGGTTAGCGACCTCATCCCAGTAGACAACTAACCAGAGAAAAAAAAGTATAATTCAAAGTAATCTTTCACTGAATATAAAGATAAACTGATGTTAAATCAATTTCAGTTTACTAAATTATTTTGCATTCATATCCAATTACATTAAATTAAATTAATATTGAACTATTAATGAATATAAATATGCATAAAACATCATTTACTCATTGAATATTTTGATTGTTTCCATGTACATCAATCTACTCTTTAGATTATAGAATAATAATAGTAACAGTAATGATAATAATGCCAATAATAATAGTAGTAACAATAATAGTAATGATAATAACGGTAATAATAATAGTAGTAATTAAAGTAGTAATGATAATGATGGCAATAACAATAATAATAACAGTAGTAATAATAATAGTAATAATAATAGTAGTGATAATAATACTAATAGTAATAATAACAGTAATAATAATAGTAATAATGGCAGTAGTAATAATAACAGTCATGATAATAGTAATAATAATATGAATAATAATAGTAATAATAGTAATGGTAATAATAATAGTAGTAATAATAGTAATAATAATAGTGATGATAATGATAGTAATAACAATAATAATAACAATAGTAATAATATTAGTAATAATAATATTAATAATAATAGTAATGATAATAATAATAGTAATAATAAAAGTAATAATAATAATAGTAATAATGATGGTAATGATGATAATAATAAAGATAATTTTGTATATTATACATAATTTAATTTGTACGTGATAAAAGTTACTTATTCAACCTAATATGAATGAACAATCTTTTAAAAGTCAGTGTATATTTAACTTAATGTAATGAGATTATAAACACGATATATGAGTTTAAACAGAGTAAAAATGAATGATATCAGTGTTATATCTATCTATTTATATATATGTATAATCACGCGATGAAAGTGTATTCAATCTTGTAAGTGGATAATCACAAAAACACTTATTGACACACGTCAATACATCTATAGAATAGATTCATCAAAGAATATGTTGTTATTTATTTATTGCAAATTATTAAACTGCTTGTAAGAAAACAATTTCCGATTTTTATTAGTGGAGATTATTAAATTTTTGATTGAGCTCATGAATCGATTGATGGGAGATCACTATTGAAAACTTGGATGTACTGGATGGCTGTTTCGTTCTATTGTGGGATTCCTTAACGGTGCGCAACCATGATCTTACACGCAGTATTCAAACACAGGACCTATTGGTCTCTTTCGCGAGCGCCTAACCTCCACACCGCTGATCCGGCATCGAACGGTGTTAATGTCTAATCTCAACCAATCCACAAAAATGTGCGACAATCTTTCATTGTACGGAAGTAGATACCTGTCTCTACTCGACACTAGTGACTAGCTTCGTAAGTGGATTCTTGGAGTTCTAGTGAGAAGTCGTGACCGATGGAGCTAATACTCTATAGGTTAAGCGTACAGGAGTCCCACAATAGGACGAAACAACCGTACGGTGCTCACAGGTTTTCAATCATGGTTTAACATTAATCGATACATGATCTCATTCTAAAAAAGTTTCGATTTATATTTGCTAACGAAGATCAAATGAATCAGTGAAAATTAAACCAATAATGATAGATACTAAATTTAAATTAAAGGAATCTTTATGTAATGAGTGCTTAAGTGTTAATTTAAAATGAACTTCAGTTGGTTTAAACAAGAATTTCTTCTGAAGTTCAGCGTTCGCTTGCGAGACCGAGTATCCTTGTTTCAAGTGTCACGAGCAGGATCATGGATTCGTACTGACGAAGAATTCTATATTAGGATGAAACGGTCGTCCAGGAAACTGTTAATGAATTCTCAGTATTAAATGGAAATCGCTACAGTGATCAACAATAAGTACTTGAAAGACTGAAAGTATGCATTTTATTACACAACGGATATCAATATAATCGTGGGTTTCAACATGAAGTATACATATATGTTCCTTTGACTGATTTTTTCACATAGTGCATTTGATAACTTGTCATTTCTTCAGACCTATAGGTATCAGTTCAGAGACCTACCTGCAGGGATTTCTAAAAGATAAAGAAGAATATACGTGATAAAATTCTTGGCTTAATTTTATCTAGGACAGTTGAGATGTGGCTAGCAATTAAATTCAGCACATGTATTTCATCCTATTTGAGACTCATCATCTGGATATACCTTAATCCCAAAGTTGATATTCGCTCTTCGACTCGCTTCAAATACTAACGCGTTATCCACTTAACTACCGGGTGCACAGAGCCATCCATTTATTTGATTGAAACGAATTACGATTTCATCCTTAATAATCTGGATTATCCCATTGTTCATATTCTGATTGAGTTTGAATCAGTCTTAGTTGGCATATATGAGGTGAGAATAAACTTCAAACTAGCTTGTGATTTTGACCTTCCACCTGGCAACCAAATAAAATGAAATGGGAATTCTTATCTACACTAACGTAATCTATGATGGAGGGCGTATATCATTTTCTGTCATTTTTGCTACCTTATATGAAAAATGTAAAGTTTTCTACGACGAAAATAGCACTTCACTATGTTACGAACGTGTTTAGTGTAGTTCAGTCAGTTATTATGTATAAACAGATCTGAACAAAAATTGTTCCAACATGATAGAATTTACCGTTTAATTTTAAGATTTCATCCATAAAGGCATTAAAATAACCAAAGATAAATAACTTGGCTTAAAATAATATGAACTGTTTTCGCTACTTGTTATATCTAGAGCTTAATAAACCACTTACGACTTAAGCACTCGAACTCTAGAACCCTCACAAGTCACAAATGAGAAGAAAGAAGACGACTGGAAATAGTGCTTGTTAGGTAAAAACCAAAATGTACAGAAAATCATGTATATTTATAGATATTATCGTTTGTCAACTCAACATTGTAATTCAACCAGTCCACAAAGAGGCATGTTATGCTATTGACCAATAGTAGCATGCCACGTTGATATTCTAGAAAGCTTCATTGCGTTCCGATTGAAAAGAACTCTTCGGCTCTTCTAATGCTTCTATAGGATTCGTCGTAGTTCTCGGAAGCCGTCCCACTACTACTATTCATTACTATTAATCACATTCCTGATTTGTATCAACGATGTATTGTAGGCTTTTAAATAAAACTATTAAGGACGTTATATTTTTCAAATATCTCATAACACCATAAGCCAACGTCAGAATGTAAATAATGATCATTACTAACATTTACTTAAACCACATCGTAATACTATATGCCTATCAATAAATGATAGAAGTCAAATTCATCTAACAACTTCAAAGAACATAAACGAACAATTAAAAATTTCATAATATCCATTACTCTAAATTTTGTATCAGTTAGCGAACAAGATCACTTTTTTTTACCTCTTCAGATCCCTCGTAATTTAATAAGGTAGCCATAGACATTGTTCACAAGCTATTCACAATATTGGTGAACACCCTCGACCGTTGTTGCTACCTTGACGTGGTGGTCGGGCTTGCCTATCGTGATGAAGCAACCGAGCTATACTGGCTGGAACAACCGTTCCTCAACGTCCTACCATGTCAGACAGGTCGGTTGAAGAGCGGTAAGACTAAAAGCAACAAACCCAAGGTCCGAAGGCGAAGTCGTACTGCTGACTGTACAGAGGTGTGACAGCAGTAAGGTGATTCCTTCAGACATCTAGCATTACAGCGATGCCGCCTTCCCTCAAGGAGGGGTGGGGTTAGAAAAGGTCGACCCTAAAAATGCACACCTCACCTTATCCCACGGATATCCATCTCCGGCGGTAAGGTCTCAACAAGTACGGAGCTAACACAAAAATTAACCAATAAAAAGGTCGTGTGTGACCGACCTCAAGCAGTTGTTCCTTGGGCACTGCGGTCACGCTCTCAGGTCACTAAAACCACCTTTAATCCAATTTCCTTTTCGGGCACCTCCAGAAGAACCATTCCACGGTGTGGGCGACCTAGAAAGGGTAACCGCCCTCGTACATCTAACACCACTCAAGATCGGTGATACTGGTCAGTGTTTTATCAATACTGCACTTATTAAAAGATGGTTTATTATATTGATAGCTATTTTACTCCTTATTAGTTTTAACTAAAATTTGAGACCATTGAGTTATCTTATTACTATCATGATGTCTTTCAAAAGATGTGCCTGTTATATTTTCATTGTCCAAAACTCGATTAACACACCAGCTCTATCAAATCTAATGTTATAAGATAAAAACAATAAATGAATCAAACTATTATGAACTTATTGCTTCATAGTTTTTTTTAATGACCATGTAACCCTATTTACGGCTAGACGTTGACAGTATTACATAATTATAAATTGTGACATAATAGTTGAAATGATCTAGATCATCACTATCAACTGTTTACATTTGAAGACTGAACTTGAAAACACGAGTATGATCAAAAGCAATAATCCATGTGAAAACAAGGAAAATTTAAAAGGGTATACAAAGGTTCAGAAAATTAGGTATGTGTAAATCATACAGTGCGATACAAGAATAGCTTCAAAATGGATGGAACGACATATAATTGGAGTTATTCAGAAGAAACCTGAAAGGAAGAAAATCGAAAATAATCAAATGATGGTTGTTCACTTTTAAAATATAAGTTGGGTCTTATTGCTTTTACTAGCACCCAATCGAACAAAACACAGTAAGGTTAAATTGGTTCATGAGTTGATTATTTAGATCATCTGTAGATGTCAACACTTTAACCGTTATTGATTAAACATAAATTTATTTCAATGGTTAAGATCATGAGTCAGTTGAAGCTAGACCACCATGGAAAACCTGGAAGCACTGGACGGCCGTTTCGTCCTATTGTGGGACTCCTCGGCAGTGCGCATTCACGACCTCGTCCCCTGAGAGATTCGAACCCAGGACCTACTGGTTTCGCGCCCGAGCACTTAACCACCAGACCACTGGGCCGGCATCCAACGGTGTTAATGTCTAACTTCAACTAATTCACGAAATTGAGCGACACATGCACCATTGTCTTCAGTGAGTTACTACCTCACAACAGACCTGGTTGAACTCCACTGGTCACTACTTCTCACTAGAACTCCAGGATATACCTCGTGAAGCCAGTCACTAGTGAGCATATTTTTGATTAATATCAGACGGCCGTCCAGTGCTTCCAGGTTTTCCATGGTGGTCTAGCTTCAACTGACTCATGATCTTAACCATTGAAATTACTACAATCTCCACAAAAAAACCCATCTGATATAAATTTATTTCATTGTTAAGTACTAGCGTTTTGGCGGTTTTTTTAGCGAGTTAGTTTCATACGAGATGTGATCGCTAACCTCATGCTCAACCTTCCTACTTTACTTGAGTTTGCGACCGGCAGTAACTTTAGAACAGCTACAGGCAGAGTTTGTTAATTACTACCACTGAGTTAAATGTTCCTTTAAAAGTGTTCTTTAACATAGATTATAATCGTCGAATAGCATTTGCATAAGTTTTGAAACACTCTCATTCTAATGATAGAATAGTTTTTTTTCAGAATTCAAGATTTAAATGTTTAAACGAATCATCATGAAAGATTCATGTAAACATGTTTCTGTTAGAGATACATCATGATATATACATGTATATATATCTAGTGTATTCAATCATTCGTGAAGTAACATGAATTAATGTGTTTATATTGTTCAATAAGTTTATCTGATTGTTTGATTAACTTTTATTCAGTTTATTCAGTAAAATGTAATT